GACCTTGGAGGTCATCTAGTCCAACCCCCTGCTCAGGCAGGAAACCCTATACCATTTCAGACAAATGGCTGTCCAGTCTCTTCTTAAAAACTTCCAGTGTTGGAGCATTCACCGCTTCTGGAGGCAGGTTGTTCCACTGGTTAATTGTTCTCACTGTCAGGAAGTTTCTCCTTAGTTCCAGGTTGCTTCTCTCCTTGATGAGTTTCCACCCGTTGCTTCTTGTCCTGCCTTCAGGCGCTTTGGAGAAGAGCTTGACTCCCTCTTCTTTGGGGCAGTCCCTGAGGTATTGGAAGACTGCTATCATGGACTTCAACTCCCAGAATTCCTGAGCCAGCCTGGCTCAGCTTGGAAACCTCTCCCTTTCCCCTCAGCATAGCTGGCTCAGGAATTCTGGGAGTTGAAGTCCATGAGCCATAAAAGAGCCAAGGTTGCCTACCCCTGGATTGGAACAAATGTTTGGGGGGGGGTGTGAGAAATTTAGCACAGATCTCTTCCCCCAAGTATTAAGGCCAGCCGAGGATCTGAGGGCCACCTGGAACAGCCACCGCCTGTTGGGATCTTAAAAAAAATCTATTCCCCCTACACTGTTGGGAAGCACAGCAATTTTCTCTACACTGTCTTTCCTGAGCAGGGGGTTGGACTAGAAGACCTCCAAGGCCCCTTCCGACTCTGTTATTCTAGCTTCTATGTTGTTGGTTGTGAAAAAGGGCAACAATGGGTGGGAGACACCCATCCCTGGGCGACTGGGGGTTATTCCCTTCCCAGCGTCCCGAAGAAGGGGGCAGAGGTGCCCCTCCCACCATTATGCTGCCAAATAAGGCAGGTGGAAAACCTGGGCTCCGGTGACTTCACCGATGTGTTCTCGGCAACGGGGCGTGGGTGTTCCCGGCCTCTCTGAGTGGGTTTGTGGCACTTCCTGGGCTCCCAGCCAACCTTCCAGGGTGAGAGCAGGTAAGGAGAAGCCCCAATAAAAGAGCCAAGGTTGCCTACCGCTGTTCCAGTCGCTCACATCTGACCGACACTGGGGTGTGTGTGCAAGAATTGCCCAACAGCACCAGGAGGGACGCTGACCTTCTCTTCCTCCTGTCTTTGGCAGAGCCAGCGGGACTTGACCCAGGAACCTCTTGACTGCTCCGTGAATCTTGACAAGCTCCGTGGGGCCACCCCGGCCGCAGCACCTGGGGCTCCTCTGAGGCTTCTGCCCCCCGTTCTGCGCCAAGGATGTTCGGCCCGAAGAAGTCCTACGACAGCCCCCCTGCCGGCTACGGCCCCCCTGGGGAGGACTACGGGTACCCCATCCCGTCGCCCCCCCCGGGCTCCTACTACGTGGAGGACCAGCCCCAGCACTTCTACAAGTGGACCTCCCCACCCAGCGTGGTGCGGATCCTGGAGGGGCTGGGCATCCTTCTGTGCGTGGCCATCTTCGCCTGCGTGGCCTCCACCCTCGTGTGGGAGTACGGCTACGGGGGGATCTACGGCGGCACCATGGGGGGCTACGGCGGGGGCTACGGCGGGGGCCTGGGCGGCGGCTACTACGGCGGAGGCATGGGCGGTGGATACTATGGTGGCTACGGCATGGGGGGCTACTACGGGGGCATGACCAACCCCCGCGCGGCCAACGGCTTCATGATCGCCATGTCGGTGCTGTGCTTCATCGCCCTTCTGGCCCTGGCCATCACCAGTCTCACCAAATCCGGCGGGGCCCGATCCAGGCGCTTCTACTTGGTGGTCCTGGTGGTCTGCCCCCTGATGGCCTTCCTCATGCTGATCGCCTCCATCGTCTACATCATGGGGGTCAACCCCCAGGCCCAGATGTCCGGCAGCTACTACAACTCCAACCCCATGCTGGCCATGTGCAACCAGGTCTACGCCGGGGGAGCCTACTACAACCAGTATCTCTACCACTACTGCATCGTGGACCCCCAGGAGGTGAGGGCCTGGATGGGGGGATGGGAGGGTGTGAGAAGAGGGGGCCCTGCCTGCTCCTTGTGGACCTGCTTTCTGTTGGGACACGGCTGGGGGGTGGGGAAGCAGCTGTGGCCCAGGCTAAGAATAAGAAAGGGAAGGGTAGGATAGAATAAGAATAGAAGAGAACAGAATAGGATGCAGAATAGAGAATAGAATAGAGCCGTGGTGGCGAAACTATAGCACGGGTGCCAGAGGCGGCACTCCGAGCCCTCTCTGTGGGCACACGCGCCGTCGCCCCAGTCCTAGGCCTTCAGCTGGGTTTTATAAAACCTTTTCGCTTTAGGCTGCCGTGTGCAAAAAAAAAAAAAAGCTCAATCAATTTCAACTTCTTGCGCAAAAAAAAAAAGATCTCGCAAAGTTGGAATTGAAAGATTGAACTTTTTAGTCCCACCCAGTCTGCCGTTACCACCGCAGCCACGCCCACCCAATGGCCACACCCACCCGGCACCTGACGATACATAAGTGGGTTTTGGATTGCAGTTTGGGCACTCGGTCTCTAAAAGGTTCGCCATCACTGGAATAGAATGTAGAATCGAATAGAACAGAGAATTTAGAATAGAGAATAGAAGAGAAGAGAAGAGAAGAGAAGAGAAGAGAAATACAGAATAGAATAGAAATATAGAATAGAATGCAGGATAGAATAGAATGCAGAATAGAGAATAGAATAGAATAGAATACAGAATAGAAAAGAATAGAACAGAATAGAATATAGAATAGAATGTAGAATAGAATAGAGAATAGAATAGAATAGAAATACAGAACAGAATTGAATGCAGAATAGAGTAATAGAATAGAATAGAATAGAATAATAGAATAGAACAAAACAGAATAGAATAATAGAATAGAAATAAAAAATAGAATAAAATACAGAATAGAATAGAAATATAGAATAGAATGCAGAATAGAATAGAAATAAAAAATAGAATAAAATGCAGAATAGAATAGAATGCAGAATAGAGAATAGAATAGAATGTAGAATAGAATAGAATACAGAATAGAAAAGAATAGAACAGAATAGAATATAGAATAGAATGTAGAATAGAATGCAGAATAGAGTAATAGAATAGAATAGAATAGAATAATAGAATAGAATAGAATAGAATAATAGAATAGAATAGAATAGAATAGAATAGAATAGAATAGAATAGAACAGAACAGAACAGAACAGAATAGAATAGAATAGTTGGAAGGAACCTTGGAGGTCTTCTAGTCCAGCCCCCTGCTCAGGCAGGCCATCCCAAACAAATGGCTGCCACCAGCAGGGGCTGCCCCTCCCCTCCCCTCCCTGTCCCCGGCTGAGCCGGCCCAGCCACCGGAGGGTCCTGCCAGGGGACAGGAGCCCTGGAACCTCGGGCAGGACTGTGCCAGCTGCGGGTGAGGCTGGCCTTTCTCAGGGACGGGCACCGGTTGGGGGGTAAAGCCGGGGCAGCCCCACTGCCTGCCTGACACGACTTTTCACCGCCTCTCTTTTTATCACCTGCTTGGCCCGAAAAACCAACCTCGGAAGTCACCACGGGATGTGTGTGTGTGTGTGTGTGTGTGTGTGTTGTGTGTGTGATGAAAGCACACAGGAAGGACTTTTGTTCCCAGTGAGTGAAAGGGCTTATCGGGAAATCAGTTTCGGGCTCGGCCGAGAGTGATCCGGGAGGCTTATCAATGGGCCGGGCGCGGCGGTGGCACCCTCGGAACTGCCCAGTTGAGCAAACAAGATAAGCCCAGCTGGCCTTCTCTGCCCGGCCTGGGGACGGGGCTGATGGGCTCGTGAATCACCTGGGAGGGAGGGCGTAAGGCTGCTGCTGCTGCTTCCTCAGGATCAGGGTGGGCGACGGTGGCAACTTTACGCCCTGCCCGCTTGGCCAGCTCAGGGACTTTGGGAGTGGAAGTTCTCAAGTTGCCCTACTTGCCCAGCCCTGCTCCAGACCCTTCCTCAGGACCCCCGGGGGTTTTTTTTTGGCAGGGGGGGGAGGAAACATATCTGCCAACCTCTGGAGCGCAACAGGTAGTCTTCGCTTAGTAACAAAGCAATTGGGACCAGCCATGCGGTCATTAAGCGAGACATCTTTACTGCTGGCTTCCTCATTGACTCCTAGCTTAATTTAAACGTCTTGGGTTTCCTGGTGGTGTCCCATCCCAGGACTGACCAGCTCAGACTATGTCTGGGGGGACGTGAGGTCCCTGGACGTGGGAGGGAAGAAAATTTGGGAGGAGGCTGGGGTGGGTGGGCTGTGCCCGTCCATTGAGGGTGCCAGGTGGTCGTCCGGATGCTCCAGGCAGGGTGGAAACCTTCTCTTCAGGTTTAGGCAAGGAAGCTTTGCTTTTGGGGAGGGGAGGTGTCATTCCCCTCCCCCATTCCTGCCTTTTCGTCTCCACTTTGACAATCCCCTTGGGAAATTGTCGCTTGTCTGAGATGGGATAGGTCCTCCTGCTTGAGCAGGGGGCTGGACTAGAAGACCTCCGAGGTCCCTTCCAGCTCTCTTCTATTCCGTTCTGAATTCTCGGGGCCCAACGCCCTGACCCCCCCTCCCCAAATTCTCACGTTTCCACAGCAAGCGCAGCCTGGAGGGCTTTAACCTGGCTTAGTGTCCTTTTGTGTCCTGAAATCCCAACGCTTTTTGTATGTGTGTGATGCACAGGGAGTTGTGCTGACCCCCCCAAAATGGGTGTCCTCACTGTCTCCAGATTAAAGGCTGGCATCCTGAGGGCTGTGGGGCAGGTGGCACAGCCGTGTGGGACACCCTGCAGGAAGGCCACGGACCTCACACGTGCCACGGTGCCGTGGACTGCCTAATTGGTCCTCTGTGGAGGCACACAACCTCCTTGTGGCTTGCTGTGAGGTCCTGGGGGGGGGGCTTGGAGTGGTTCTCCTTGCTCTGCGGACATGTCCTTCAGTGGAGAAAGAGACCCCCCTCACCCACGGAGACCCTGAACACCAGCCCAGAGTCCCTTTGGATAGGGGGGAGGGAGCCGCGCTTTGCTCTCAGGAATTTGGGGGAGGGGAGGGAGATCTGCAAGGGGTTTAACTGTCCCCCCTCTGTTCCTCCCCCCCCCAGGCCGTCGCCATCGTCTGCGGATTCCTTCTGGTGATCCTGCTCTGCATCATCTGCTTTTTCGCCCACAAAACCCGCCAGAAGATCTGGCAGTTTGGAAAGCAAAATATTTACTGGGACCGGCCACCGGCGATGGAGGAGGGTCCCAACGTGGAGGAATGGGTGAGTGGAGCAGTGGAAACCCCTCCCCCCCAAAAAAAGCCCTGGGGGAGGCAGCTGTCCTTGACCCCCTGGTCCCTTTGGTAATGCTGACCGTCAGCTGGGCTGGGAAGTTGGGCCGGGACAGGCTTGGAAGGGACCAAAGGGGCCATTTTGAATGCAGGCCTCCCCCTCCCCACACAAACAATGCAATCATTTTGGGGAGGGGGCGGCTTCCTCTGCCACCCATGAATGGCAGGAGGAAAACCTGCGCAGGGGTAGGCAACCTCGGCTCTTTTATGACTCATGGACTTCAACTCCCAGAATTCCTGAGTCAGCTATGCTGACTCAGGAATTCTGGGAGTTGAAGTCCATGAGTCATAAAAGAGCCGAGGTTGCCTACCCCAGCGCGAAGCAGCCCAGAACCAAGGAGAAATTTCCTGAACCATCAACCAGCGGAAGAGAAGTTGCCTCCAGAAGTTGTGGGTGCTGCGTCACACACTGGAGGCTTTCAAGAGGGGATGGACTAGAGGACCTCCAAGGCCCCTTCCCTCTCTGCTATATTCTGTGGCCACAGGAGCGTCTCAAAGCGGAGCCCCTTTTTTGGCGACATTTCGTGACACTGCCGTGCCCGCTTGCCCCTTTTGGCGCCCCCCCCTGGCTAGGAGGAGAGAAACCCCCCCGGGGGGGACCCTCTCTCGGTTGCTCCCGGTCTGCCCGCCTGAGCTCGGGAGAAAATGGCCGCCCGTCTGTTTTGATTTCGGCCATTTTCTTTCCTTCCTGCTGCTGGTTTTAGCCATCGTCCCTCCGGGCCCTTTTCCCCACTGTGAATTCCCCTCCTTTCCTCCCTAATTCTCCCCATTTCTGATCTGCAACGACAGACACAGGTTCGCCAGCCTTGCCACCTGCACTGGAGAGGGGTGTGTGTTTGTGTGTGTGTGTGTGTGTAACCGAGAGGGCCCCTGGTTGTTTACAGCTTCTCTGGTTTCGGTTGCATCAATGATTAACCACTGAGCCCACAGGAGCCGTTCCGCAGAGGCAGGTGGCCTGGCAGGACCCAGGGTGTGGGGGGCTGGGCCCAGGCGTCCCCCTCCCCAGATGAGAGCCTTCAACTCTGTGGACATTCCCCCCCTACCCCCCAATTTCAGGAGCTGCCTCTGTCCCATTGCTGAAGTTCTGGGGTGCTGGTGGAAGAGGCTGGGGACTTTGACCTTCTGCTGGGCCTTCCGGGAAAGCGGGAGAATGGGGGGGCTGGAGGGCAAGAATGCCCCACCCCCACCCCAGAAGACTTGGTTCTTGGGGGGGGCGCTGAAGTGGGGAGCTGTTCCCCAAGGCTCCAAGCTGGGTCTGGTCCACAGCAAGCCCTGCCATCTCTCCCTCTGGCAAAGGGTCAGCCGGGGGTGGGAAGGGGAAGGGGGGGACAATAACAGAGTCAGAAGGGACCTTGGAGGTCTTCTAGTCCAACCCCCTGCTCAAGTGGGCAGGGAAAGGCTGACCCACGAAGGGCGTCTCCTCGTTGCTTCCCACGCTGGCTCCAAGCAGGAGGAGAGGAAGGGGAGCGCACAGCCCCCAGCTGGCACACAGCCTCCCCCAGTCTTCCCAGGGGTGGGAATGCCGAGCATGGGCCCCCGGGGGCTGGAGACCAGGCAGGGGGGCCTGGACATGGGGAGGGTCAGGACAGGGAGTGGCCGGGAGGGAAAGGCCAGCCTGGTTAGGGAGGCACCGGCCAAATCTCAGCCAGCCGTGAGGGCAGGTGGGCACAGGGGAGGGCGTGTGCGGTGGGCATCTGGAAAGCCTGGGCGGGAAGGGCGAATCTGGCGTGCCAGATGTTGCTGTGGTGAGCTCTCGCCTCCATTCCAGCCCCCCCCCCCGTTTTCCAGTTGTTGCTGCATTTTCTCTGGGGCTGGGCAGGCAAGGCTGCCCTCTTAGTGGTGGGGAATCCTTTTGGGGGGGGGCGTGCTAAGCCCTGTGCCCCCTACAGAGGGAGCGCCACGTGGGGGGCACCTGATGTCCAAATGGGTTTGCTGGGGATTTCACCCTGAGAGATTGGGAGAGGCTGAGGTCAGCAGGTCACGCTCCGGACCCCCGACCTCCGGGGCCTTCGGGGTGCTGAGGAGAGCCCGTTGCCCCTCTGCAGGTGAAGAACGTGGATGGCCGGGCCAGCCCCACCGACACGGTCACCCTGGCCTACTCGGAGAAGCCCACCAGCCCCGTCAATGCCCTCGCCAGCCCCCCCAACTACACAGAGAAGGACTACTACTCCAAGGTGGATGTCCGGAGCAGGTGAGCAGGAGGGGGGAGGGTTTGCCAGCACCCGGGCCAAGGAGACCCCCGGAGGAGGGGGGGTGGCAGGGCTTGGCCGGGAGGGGAACATTGCCAGCACCCCTCCTGGGAACGCCGCCTTTGGTGCTGGAGGGAGACTGCAGCTGCCTGTGGAGGTTCCACTGAATGCCCAGCCCTGGAACCCGATCGGACCCACCCGTGGGCCCTTGAACTCCTCCGAGGCAGCCGGACATTACAGACTGCCAGGGTTGGGGATGATGGACCAAGGAGGAGCCCTCAAGCCCATCAGCAGTAGAAAAGCACAGCCGCCAGCTGGCCGTCTCTTCGTTTGTCTCGTGTTGTTCTCACATTAAGGGGGGGTAGACTGCTCCTGGATAGGGGGCTCCGTTGAGCTGTGCCGGCTGGTGGATGTTGAGGGAGGGTCCTCCTCGGCCCGAGTCCCTCCATTTCTGCACCTTTGGGTCAGGCGAGGGTCCCCAGTGAGTCACAAACAGGGGCACCCTGACAGAAGAGCCGTTGCGAATAGTCCTCCATTTACAACGGGTCACTTTGCGTCTGTTTCACACTTCCGGCGCTTGGCAGCCAGCCAGCCTTGACCGCCGTTTGCAGCGTCCCGCGACCACACGACCGCAATTTACGGCGGTTTCACTGAAAACCAGATTTTACTTCTGGTTTGTTTTGATGCAACCGGCCCACAGCCCACCACGGGCTCACTTAATGGCCACAAGGTCTGCTTAATGACCTTCGGCAGCTGCAAAAAAGGTAGCAACATTGGCTCAGTCACGTCACCTGCTTTACGACGGTCATGCCTTACAGCCGTTAATGGGCAGGCTCCCTTAATGGCCGTAACTGGAGGACTGCCTGCACTGGGCAAAGGGGGCTGAAGCTTTCCTGAAGTCCTGGGAAGCCAGATAATGCCTGGAATCAGATCAGGCAGACCCCTCCCCAATTCCCTGGGGGGGGCATGAGGAGGGGGGAGTCCAGCGCAGTCAGATTTGCAAGGTCCTCTGAATAAACCCCCCCAGTCAAGAGCCCTTTGATGGGGCTGATTTCCTGGCCTGTCTTTGCCCCCCCCAGCTCTCCCTTCCAGCCCCCCCTGGACAAGCGTGCTCGGACGCTGAGCTCCAGCACCTGGGAGGAGAAAACCCAGGAGCCCCCCAGGAAGCCCCCCGCCCACAGGGGCCGAAGGTCGCGCAAGAGGAGCCCCGAACTGGAGGAGTCCCAGTACGAGACGGATCCCACCACGGCCATGGAGTCCAGCGACGAGCAGGACCTGGATGATTGGGGCAGGTGAGGGGCCCTGCGGACTGGAATGGGGGGGGACCCAGGGAGACCAGACCCCTGAGCCCAGGGCCCCTCCCCAAGCACCCTCGATGCACGCAATTGGCACAATGCAAGACACGTCAACTCGACAAGCTACATTACGGACAGTCCCCGGCTTACGGCCATTTGCTTAGTGACCGTTTGAGGTCACAATGCCCTGAAAAACATGGGCTCGTGACCATTTTTCACACTTAACGACCGTCATAGCATCCCTGTGGGTGCAGGGTCAAAATTCCTCCGTCCTGCCGAGACGCAACAGTAGGCGTGTAACCGTGATGGATTTGCCTTTTTTAATAATTAAGTGGAGCCCAGGCCTTCCGATCAAACACTCAGGGGCCAGAAATTAGGGGGGTTTCAGTGGGAGACCCCCTCCATGGGTCCCCTGCCTGAGCAGCTGCACCAAGCCAGCCCACCCTCTGGGGTCTATAGACCCACTTTCAGCCCCCAATTTAAGGAATTTAAATTTAAGCCTGGGGGGGCCCCAAACCCCACAGCTGGTCAGAGACCCCGGGAAGGGGCTTTGGGGACCCGGAAGCAGGAAGGCAGGGAGGGCTGGGTTGGGGGGCCAGGAGGGCAGGCCCTGGGCCAGGCTGGGGGAGGAATTCAGGAGGGCAGCTGGTGCCGGGCGAGAGGCTGGCACTGAAAGAGGGCGATCCAAGTTTTGGGGTTCCTGTTAATTCGCCATGTCGAAGGAACCCCACTGGGGGTCTTGCTGGGGTGTCCCCTGACTCGGGGCTGGCAGACCGTGCCCTGCCGGGAGCCCCCTCCGGCTTAGCCCTCCCCCGGACCCCTCAAAGCGGAGCTCTGAACCCCTCAAAGTGTGTGAAGGGGGGCCTTTCATCCCCTCTGCTTACCACCCCGCCTTGCCAGCTGTAGACTAAAGGGAGGGGGCTCAGGGGGGCCCTGGGCGGCACCCAGCCCGTGGCTGAGCCCCTCCTGTCGCCTCCCCGCAGCCACTACCCACCGATCACGTCCGACAGTGCCCGCCAGGAATACAAGCAGGATTTTGACAGCGACCTCAAGCGCTACAAGCAGCTCTGTGCCCAGATGGATGGCATCAACGACCAGATCAACCAGCTCAGCAGGCAGCTGGACCAGTTGCCGGAGGGCACCCTCCAGTACCAGGTGGGCACCAACCGGAGGGAGCCCTGGGAAGCCGGCCCTGCTGTGGCAAAAGGGAGCGGCCGCTGGGGGGGGGCGTCCAGGACATCCCTCCAGCCCCCCCCGGCGGTGCCCGGTGTCCTTGTCTGTGGGGCTGCCAGGCCTGCCCACCTTTTTATGGGCTCCTGGTTTACCTCACAGAGGCCCTACGGCTGCTCTTACACCAGCTGCAAGCTGGGGGGGGCACGCAAGGGCTCAGCTGTGCCTGGGACACACCGGCCTTCCCCCACCTTTGCCCAGCCTCTCCTCCAGCCCCCCTCCCCTCCCCGGGCAGACCCTCCCTCCCAGCCGGTGCTGGAGGCCACTTCAAAAGCCCCTTGGGCTGCCCACCGACTTTCCTGCCTTGCTCTGAGTTGTACTGCTCCTGAACAGGGGAGCTCCATTTTTGTGTACATCCCACCCCCCCCACCCGGTCTGTTCCCCTCCCAACTCTGGTGTTTCTCCCGCAGGGCGTGGCAGAGGAGTACAACCGGCTGAAGGAGATGAAGCGGGTGAGTCCCCCCCACCCCGGCCTGGTTGCCCCCCCATCCCCAGGTCCCATCAGCCCCAGCCCCCCTGGCCTGGGTTGGGGGCCATGGGAAACGCAGGGGAGGAATGCCCAGGGAAGCAGGTTGCCCTCTGGGCTCTGGGGGGATGCCATTGTGGGTGGGTGGGGTGGGGTGGGCTACGTTTAATAGAAATGCAAACGGGGGGGGGAGATTACTTGCTCCCCCGCCCCTCCTTATCAGACGCACGGGAAGCCCTGCAGCCCACCTCCAGAACTGGGACCCAGGGGCAGGGGATGGAAGGGCAAGGCCTGAAGCCTGAAGAGACCTGTGTTCAGATTCTGGGCTTTTTTGGGGGGCGGTTTATGTGTGTCACATCAGGAGAATCGGCCCCTCCAACATCTGGGCAGCCCGCAGAGCTTAAGCACTGTTGATTCCGTTACCAAATCCGCCCTATTTATTACTTTTATTGATCCATCCGATGTTTGCCCTGCCCGTCTCTCCTGGGCGACGCTGGGCACGTCATCAAACAAGACAAAAACCACGATTAAAAGCCCAGTTGAAGACAGAATGAAAAAGGAGATTGAAATTTGCAAATTGAAAGTTAAAAAAAGAGAGAGGAAACTGAAGGCTGGAAAGTTAACTAGGGCAGCCCCCCCCAACCTTTGGGGCACCAGGGACCCGGTTCCATGGGGAGGGCTTTTTCCCCAGATCGGAGTGGGTGGGGGGTCCTGGGTTCGCATGCTGCCTGCATCCCACGGATGGGCCATCACTGCTGGTTGGTGCCCACCAGCGTGTGCCGAGTCCCCACTGCGGATGGCTCTGAACTGGGGATGGCCACCAGCCCGGGGCTTCCTGAATCGGGGCTGGGGATGAGGGGAGCTGTAGTCCTGCTCCAGTCACCCAGGCTCTCCTCTCCCCCTTTGAACCCGTGCCAGACGCCCGAGTACCGCAGCCAGAAGACGGAGACCAAGTCCCTGAGGAAGAAGTTGTTCCACATCAAGCGGATGGTCAGCGACTACGATCAGCACCGGGGCTGAGCCCGGAGTGGGGTCCCCGGGACCCCCGGAGTACAGGGGTGCCCAAGCCCGGCTCCCTCCCGGGACCCAGAAGGATGGACTCTGACCGGCCAGGCAGCCCCCTCCCACCTTTTGTTTGGACCCGGGGACGCCTGGCCGAGTCCTGCCAAGACTCTGGGGGTGCCAGGGTGCCAGTGCCCCCCCTCCCTGCAAGAGACGAGGACGCCAGTGTGTGTGTGTGTGTGTCTTGCTTTGTGGATTTTCTTATTCTTACACTGATGCATTTTATTTTTCTCCCGCTTCGTGCCAAAAGGCTGGTTTCCGGGTCTTGGGCCAGCAGCGAGGAGGGTGGGCATCGACCCAGAGCTCTTTTTTGGGGAGGGGGGCGCTCCGGGTGGTTTTGGGCACTCAGCTGCTGGGAACCCCCGATGGCCCTGGGGCTCCTCTTTGGGGCAAATCACGTTGGGGAAACACCCCCACCCACCCACCGAGACACAATAGTGTGCAGTGAGGGGGGGGACACCAATAATGGGAAGGGTCCCTTGGGGTCCCTTAAAGATGAGGCCGCTTTTGGCACCGAAGGTCTCGGGATCAAATCCTGATTGTTGGATGGGGCGGGGGGGAATTGTACCCCCGGCTGCTCCCCCAAAGTGAAAAAGGAAGCAGGTGTTTTCCAGAGGGGGGGGGGGAGACCAGCAGGCTTGGCAGTCACCTGTCTTTCCCTCCTCCTTCCTCTTCCTCCTCCCTCCCTGTCCTCCCCCGCCCCTCCTTCCTTCCCCTCCTCCCTCCCTGTCCTCCCCCTTTCTCTTCCTCTCCCTCCTCCTCCTCCCCAGTGCCAACCTGTGTTTGTGTGGCAAATGCTGCTCCCCCAAAAGGCCTTTTGCGGTTGGAAACTTGCCCCCACTTGGCAGTGCCACCCTGTTGGCATTCCTACCAGCAGCCAGCTGAGGGCCCAGAGAGCTCTCCTGGGGAGGGAGAAAACATCTGCATTCCCCCCCCCCCGAGGATTTCTGCTTTTGGAGCCAAGCAAGAGCCAAAATCCCCCCCCCAGGAGCCACAGCCCAGCGGGACCTCTTGTCAATGGGGGGGGGAGGGAACTGTATATATTGTGAAAATGGGGAGGGGGCAGGCCTATTTTTTAATAGTAAAACTATTGCTTTAATAAACGCGGGGAAATTTACCTTGGTTCCTCCGTGTCTGTTGGCAACTTCTAGGGTGCGAAATGCCCCCCCCCCCTGAATCTCTGAGTTCTCTGCCAGGGTCCTCAGCGATGCCCGGGCACTTCTGCCTCCCTCTGGGCTGCCCCACAATGCAGCTGCCCCATCGCAGCCCCTGCCTTTGTCTGCAAACCTTGGACGTGGTCCCCGGGCCCTCAGCTTCAGAGACCCCCCCTGGCCGCCAGGCGGCAAAGCTGGCAGAGCCCCCGGACCGCCTGCGGAGGCCGGAGCAGCCTCTGGACTAAGCTGGCAAAACAGAGCAATGAATAGCAGAGTTGGAAGGGACCGTGGAGGTCATCTAGTCCAACCCCCTGCTTGATCAGGAGAACCTCTACCCTTTCAGACAAGGGGCTGTTCCGTCTCTTCCCCAAAACCTCCGGTGTTTTTAAGGCCTGGGTGCCAGCTGGCTCCCTCTGCTGCTGCTGGTGGGGTTGGGCCCCCGAGACCCTCCAGAGCAGCACCCTGGGGGAGCCCCCGGCCCATTCGAGCAGGGAGATTCCCAAGGGAGAAACCGAGGCAAGGAAAGACGTCCCTGGGCACAAGAGGGCGAGAAAGCCTGGCAGCCTTTCAAGGTCTGCACAGAAAACCGCCTTCCTGCCGTGCCAGGCTGTGCCGTGCCCTTGAGAGCAAAGCCAGCTCAGGGGCACCGGGAGGGCGCAGGATTGGGCCTTGCCAGGCTGGCATGCCCCAGGGAAGGAAGCCTCGCGGGCACCTGGCAGAGCCCAGGTGTGTGTGTGTGTGTGTGTGTGTGTGTGGGGCAAACACAAAGCCCAGCCTGTGGCTGCAGGACCCGTCTGGCAATTGGCCTCGTGGTGCCCTCCGTCCCCCCCCCCGGACAAAAATATATAGAATATTGTTTTGTTTTTGTAATCGGTGCCATCAGCCCGGAAGGGGAAGCAGCCACACACAGCTGCCACTGCCAAGGGCAGTCTGGGAGGGGTGGGGGTGGGGAAGGTGCCCCTCCCTCACCCTGGGATGCCCGTCCTGGACCCAGAGCCTTTGCCTGGCTCCAGAGACGGGCACCCTTCCTCCCAACCTGAGCAGAGAAGACCCCCCCCCATCTCTTGGTGGTGCAGCTGGGGACCCCCAGAACCCACCTTGAGGGACAAGGCCGTGCCCCCCCTTAACCAAGGACCCAACAGACCCAGTTTGGCAACCGGCCCCATTGCCCACTGGATAAAGGGGGGAGGAGAACACCCATCCTCCAGGGAGTTGATGGGCACTTGAGTCCCACAGCAGGTGGACCTTGGGGGGGGGTGTCTTGGGGAGGAGACTTCCGGCAGGATTTACGGCAAGTGGCCTTTGAGGAGGGCCTTTATAGCCCCTCTTGCCCCCTTCTGGTAGGGCCCCCCTCTTCTTTTCGCTGTAGAGCCCCCCCCGCCCAAGCAGGTAAAATAAATCACATCCGATACCCAAATATTTTTATTCCAAGCACAGAACTGGCGCATCCTTGATCTGGAATTTGGAGAGAGAGAGAGAGAGAGAAGAAAAGTTTGCATAGATTACAATCGGTACTTTAGACTTCCGAGACCTGAGTTCAAGTCCCACCACTCTCAGCGACTTTAAAGAAAAGCCGGCCCTCGTGGCCTCAGTTTCCTCTGTCTGTAAAACGGGTTTAATGGCAAATTTCCATCACACGCTCCTTGAAGAGACCGTCATATACACACGGAGAGGGGGGGGAAGCAGATGAGAAAAGAAAGGGGGGAGGGGAGAAAAGGCCACAAAGTGATCAAACAGATTTTAGCTGAACTGATATCCAGCGAAGGTCACTGGAACACCGGGGTGGGCGGGCGGGNGGTGGGCGGGCGGGTGAGGAGGGCAGCCACGCGTGGACGGCAAGGGCATGCATGCCAACATTTGCATAGCATCGTCACAAACGTGGGGGGGGCTGGCACAACCCGGCTTTTGGGGGTGTGGGGGGGAATTTCCATGGCAGGTTTTGGAAAGAGGGAGGCAGAAATTAAAATGCGGGGGGGGGGGAGGTGAGGAAGAGGAGCAGCAAGCCTTTAACCGGCAGGACCAGCGCCCCACCAGGTTTTCTTCAGGGGGGGGCATTCAATATGCCCAGTGGGTGAGGGCCCGGTGGCACCTGGGAGAGGGAGGGGCCTCGCTGGGGAAGCCCCGCCTCTCACTGCAGCCCGCTTGCCCGGGGCGTCCCTCGGAGTGGCCCTGGCTCACAGGGGCCCCAAATCCTGCAGTGGGGGGGCGCAACTCAGCCGATGCCCCCCCCCCGGGGCTGCCAAAAGAGATGAATGCCAGGCCGGACCCAGAAGGGCAGGGACCCCCCCCCCCATTTGCCCGGGGAGCATTCAGACACCGCCTGTTTTCTTTGGTGCTTCCTCTCCAAGGACAGGAGGGCAACCTTTGAGGGGGTGGCATGGGGGTCCTGGGGGGGGATTAGCTACATGAGGAAACCATGCCTGGGGGGGGCAGGACCAGTTTGCCAGTCAAAACCTGGCAGGACGGGGCCCCTCTTTTAAAGGGCCCTTTGTAGCTGCAAAAGTGGAGCTACTACCAGCTGCCCCCCTCCCTCCCACCAAGGGGGGGGTCTTTCAAGCACTCTCAATGTGCCCACCTCATTGGGGACCCTCCTAGTTTCCCCCCTCCGAGGGCAGAAACAAGAGGGGGGGTGCTAAGATAGCGGATCCTCTCCAGGCCTCTGGAGGGCTGCCCAGACAGCCGGGAGGGGGGGGCGTTCTTCATCCCCCTTCAAGGTGCTCATGCAAATGCTGGGGAAAACCAACCAGAGGGGGGGGTCCAGAGTCCCCCCGGACCACCCAGGCCTCCTCCTCCTCCTTCCTCCTCCTCCGGCTACATGTGGCACACAGACGGCTGGCGTGCGACCCGGGAGAAACCGACGAGTGTTCAGAAGAGACGTCCAACGCAAGCGGGCCCACCTTGGGGTTCCTCTTGGCATTGAGGGGTGGGCTTCATTCTCAGCTGCAGGGGGGGGCTCTCCAGCCTGGCCCCTCCCAAAGGGGTCCCACGAAAGCCAAGCGGCCCCTCCTCCAAAGTCTCGCCCGGGCAGGCGGGAGGGGGGGCTGCAAACGGACATCCAGGCTGTCGGGGGGGGCCCGGCGTCCGTCCACCTGTCCACCTGTCCGGGCTCACTGCCCCGTCCCGTAGGGCCAGTTGAAGCTGCTGCCGGACAGCAGCATGTCCCGGATGAGGGTCTCAATGGGCGTCTTGCCCACCAGGCGCATGAAGAAGAGCTGCGAGATGAGCGAGGCCGGGACGGCCCGCAGCGCAGGGAGGCGCAGGAGCAGCCGGCCGAAGCGCTGGGGCTGGGAGGGGTACTGGGAGCGGACGTACTCCGTCAGGGCCACCTGCGCCTTCTCCTGGAGGCTCTCCACGTGCGCCGAGTCCGAGAGGCCGCAGGCGTCTGGAGGGAAGAGGGAGAAGTCAGCCGGCAGCCGCGGGGGTCCCCACAGGCCCCCAGCCCCAATGGCTCCCTCTGCAGCCGGGTTCAGCCCGTGAGACATTCTAGTCCTCATGGTCCTTTTGCAGAAGGGTGAATGCTCAGGGGGGTCCCTGGGTGGTTCTCTGAGCTGGGTGGCTTCCCTGCAGGCGTCTCATGACCCAACTAGGGAACCTCATCAGTGCTGGAAGGGAGGGGGCTTTGAAGAGGAGGAGGAGGAGGAGGAGGAGGAGGAGGAGGAGGAGGAGGAGGAGGAGGAGGAGAAGGGGGGGGACCTTGGTGCTCTCTGAGCTGGGTGGTTTTCTTGCAGACCTTTCATGACCCAGCTAGCTAACATCATCAGTTCTGGTAAGGAGTAGTAGGGTTTTGTTTATGTAATCCCACTCCTTACCAGCACTGATGGTGTTACCTAGTTGGGTCATGAAACGTCTGCAAGGAAACCACCCAGCTCAGGGAGCACCAGGGACCCCTCGTTTCAACCCTGAGCTTTAAAGATTCTCCTTTATGGCTTGATCAGCCTCGACTGAATTTCTGAACCCAGCCAGGGGCTTCTGATTCGACCTGGGCCCCCACTTGCCCCCAGACCCTCCCAGGGGGCCGAGCTGGATCAGGGCTGCCTTCTGCGCTGGCACGCCTGGGAATTACCCACCCAACTTCCTGCCAGAGGAGAAGGGCAATCAAAACAGCTGGGCCTTTGCGATGGCAGCCCAGAGGGGTGCCTTGCCCCCCAGGACTGCCTTCCTGGGTGGAGAAGAGCAGGGGGGTGCCAATGGCAGTCACTAAGGGCAGCTGCCTCTGCCAAGGAGGGTGCCCAGCCCCCCCCTCAGCCCCCCGAGGCCTCCGAGGCAGCAGGAAAAGAGCTTTTAGGAAGGGGCGATCAAGGGGGCCGCAGGCAGCCAAGGCCGGGCTCCCCCCAGGGCTGCCTTCGCCTCCCCCTCCCCCCCGTATACTGCACCGCGCAGGAATCCTCCCCAGGGCTGCCCCTGTTCGGGAGGGGGGCTGGAAAAGACATTTTGTTGTCCCAAACCTGAAAACCAGAGCAAGGACCCCCCCCACACCCCAAAAAAGCTTTTGCAACCTTTTTGGTGACCAATAAGCTGTGCAGAAACTTCCAGCGCACCACCTCCGTTTGGCCACCAGGGGTCGATGTTGCATGGCCATTTCCCATAGAGAGACAGCAAGGTTCCCATGGGGGGGAAGCCCCACTGAAGCCCCCCCCCCAGCTCAGAGGGCCTGTCCCTATTTCCTGCCAAGCTTCAGCTGAACCAAAATGCAGACTCTGTTACGGTCGTAAGTTGAGGACTATCGGTGCTCACCTGCCCAAAGTGTGTGTGGGGGGGAGCAATTGATTCATCACATGCTAAATCCATGCAGGGGCACCTGGCTTCCGGGTGCCGGGTCAAACTACCTTGCAGATAGTCCTCAATTTACGATGTTTCGTTTAGTGACCGTTCAAAGTTACAACGGCACTAAAAAAGCGGCTTATGAATGTTGTTCACACTTACGACCGTTGCAGCATCCCCACGGTCACAAGTAACCAGAATCCAGATGCTTGGCAACTGGCTTGTATTTATGACGGCCGTAGCATCCCAGGGGGTCCTGTGATCCCCTTTTGCGACTCTATGACCAGCAAAGCCCAGGGGAGAAGCCGGATTCAAGAACGGTCACAAAACAGGGCAAAACCCGCTTAACAACCGTCCCGCTCAGCCCCGGAAATTCTGGGCTGGACGGTGGTCATTAAGAGGTGGACGGTGCCTGGAGAGTGGCAAGGAGGGGGATCCCCTCTTTCCCTCTCACCCAGCCCCAGAGAGGTGCCCCCCCACCCCGAGGCCCACCCGGGGTAGGGGGCACAGGGGGGTCCCGACCCACCTGGGCTGAAGAGGGCGATGGCCTTGAGGCAGCTGAACTCGGCCGAGTCCACCTGCAGCCGGCTGAGCTTCTCCACCTGGTCCTGGAAGATGCGGATCTGGTCCATGAAGGAGACCACCCGCTCGGCCGACATGGGGGCGGCGTGGAAGCCGGCGGCGGCCAGCAGGGGCGCCATGTGGAGGGGCAGGGCGGACTGGGCGGCGTTGAGCACGAAGAGCTCGCTCCAGCTGAGGCGCAGCAGGGCCACCTGGTCCGAGACGGGCAGCTCCGGGAAGAAGGGGATGTTGCGGGCCCACTCCACCGTGCTGAAGAGCAGCCGGGCGGCCAGCTCGCAGATGTTGTCGATGCCCATCACGCTGCCCTGCTGCTGGGCGTACTGGGAGCTGAGGCGGGCGCTGGGGTAGGGCTCGGCCCGCAGCAGCTGCGAGATCAGCTCCGAGACCGGCTGTCCGTTGTAGTAGTCGCCGCTCTGCGCCGCGTTGGGGCTGGCGCTGGCGTGGCTGGGCGGGATCCGGCCCCTCTGGACGGCTGGACAGGCAGGGAGGGAGGGGGGGGACAGGTCAGCAGCACAGAAACAAACACACCCCTACACACATCCCTACACACACCCCTTGGCAGGCTGGGAACGTGCCCTTTGGCCCTGATTTGGCCCGGCGTGGAGAGGGCCTGTGCCCGCCTGCCCGGGAAAGGCGCCAGTTGGCACCCTTCCCCACCTCTGGCCTTGTTTCCCAGCTGTGACCTCTGGCCCAGCTGGGTCACGTGAGCCCCTCCCCGCCCCAGCCCTGCAGGGGCCGGGCCCTCCCGGCAGGCCTGCTCAACCGGTCCCTGGTCCCTGGCAGAGCCTCCCTCTGAACCAGGCCCCGCGTGCCACGCTCCCCCCCCCGTCCTCAGCAGCCGGTCCTCCCAGGTGAAGTGCTCCTGAGCAAGGGGGCTCTACGAGGGGGGAGAAGCTCCCCCTCCCGTCTGGCCTTCTGCAACCGGGCGCCCCCAGGGTGGGAGGGCTGGGGCAAACTCCGGGGCAGCAACGGAAGGTCCGACCCGGACACCCATTGGGCTTCCACCACTCAACACTTCCTACTTCAATTCCACGCTGGGGGCCAAATCCAGGGCCCCAAAGCATCTCTTGGGGGGGCCACAATTTCCTACTGCCCACCTCCAACCTGAGCCCCATCCAATCAATCATGAAGGGGTCCCTCCCCAGCAGTGGCCAGAGGGGAGGGGGTCAATCTGTAGACATCCCCCCCCTCTTTGCCATCACCACCATGGTGAGCAACATGGGCCTTCCACAGCTTTGCAAATGTATTTATTTTTTTAGATAATTTATATAGCCACATACTGGGGGGGGGGGCAGAGGCTAAAGCCTGACATCTCATATCGGGGGGGGGGCTTTTGCCTCTCCCCAAACTCTCTTCCATTCGTTTCCTGCATCCTCCGGTCCCAAACTGGGTGTGTGTGTGTGAATGACAAATTTCAGGCAGAGGGCAGCTGCCCCCCCTCCTGCCCCCCAAGACCTGGGGTGGAGGGCACTGCAATTTGGGTGCGGTGCCAGGGGAGAGTGGGGGAGGGCCCAGGGAGGGGGGCACTGTCCTCTATGCAGCTTCTGGGTTTCTTCTGCCCCCCACGGCCTGATCCATGGAGGGGGGGGAAGGTCAGTGGCCCCCAGGGTGACCGGAGCAGAGGCCCGGCTGGGCGAGGGCATGTGCCCGGGCACCAGCGCTCCCTTGGCGTGGGACAGCTGCCCCGGCAACCGTTCCCTTCCAGCACGGGGGGGGGGCTCCTCTGCTCTCCCCCCCCCAGGAGAGGCTGGCTGGGAACCTCTCAGCCAGTCTGACTTCATTCCTGGGGGGGGGAGGGGGGGCGGCTGTGAGAGAGCGAGGGAGGCCTGCCCCGGCTTGTCCCGGGAGCGAAGGCCGGAGGGCCAGGTGCTCCTGCGCGATATTGGGGTGGGGGGGAATGTTATGGGGGGGGGTGTTCAGCTGGGCAGGGAGCCAAGGATGGACCTCTATGCACACAAATACAAACACACACACACACACACACACACACACACACTCCTCCCTGGGCTGGAGAACCAGAAAGTGCAAATGGTTGGAAGCCCCATCGGTGCCCGGGACCCCCTCCCCACTTTAGGGCAACTGCGCAGAGACCCTGGGGAGCTCCCCCCAGAGGCAGAGACTGGAACTGCACCTGCACCAGAGAGTCCCTTCTTTGGGTGGGGGGTTATTTCAATTGGGAGTCCTCGCGGGGGAGGGGACAGAGCGGAGGGGGGGGGTCTCCAGCACCCAGCATGGCTCTGCCTGGCCCCAGACGGCCTTTGGACCCCCCCATCCCCCTCCAGGATCCGCCCTCTGGGGCTTTGGTTCCCTGGGGAGCAGCCGGTCCCCCCCCACGCCTGCCTCTGAGCCCCTCTGAGCCCCCCCTCCCGCCCCCCCCCCACTGACTGGCCTCACCTTCCTTCCTCATGCCGACACGGAAGCACTTCTTCAGCCGGCAATACTGGCATTGGTTGCGGTGATGCTGGTCGATCTGGCAGTCCCGGTTGGACCTGGGAGGGGGGGGGGACAGAAGGAAAGCGGCTTCAGCACACCCGGACGAGGAGCGAAGGTCCCCCAGAAATCATGGCGGGAGCCCCCCAAGGAGGAGAAGCCCCCTGGGACTCAAGGGGGGTTGAGGGTCAGTGAGGGCAATCAACCAGTGGAACAGCCTGCCACCAGAAGTCGTGGGTGCTCCATCCCTGGAGGCTTTTAAGAAGAGACTGGACAGCCGCCTGTCTGAAATGGTATAAGGCAAGGGTAGGCAACCTTGGCTCTTTTATGACTTGTGGACTTCAACTCCCAGAATTCCTGAGGCAGCATGGGGGAACTATGGCCCCCTCATGACTCGTGGACTTCAACTCCCAGAATTCCTGAGCCAGCCTGGCTCAGCTTGGAAACCTCTCCCTGTCCCCTCAGCATGGCTGGTTCAGGAATTCTGGGAGTTGAAGTCCACCAGTCATAAAAGAGCCCAGGTTGCCTACCCCTGGTATAAGGTCTCCTGGTTGAGCAGGGGGCTGGACTAGAGGACCTCCAAGGCCCCTTCCAGTTCTGTAATTCTGTTAATACCCAGCGGAACCATTGAGTGTAGGGAGGGCAGGAATGGATGGATGGATGGATGGATGGGAGGGAGGGAGGGAGGGAGGAAGGAAGGGAAGGAGGGAGGGCAGAGAAGGAGGAAGGGAGGAAGAAAGGAAAGGGAGGGAGGAAGCAGAAGGGAAGGAAGGAAGGGAAGAAGGGAAGGAGGGAGGGCAGAGAAGAAGGAAGGGAGGAAGAAAGGAAAGGGAAGGAAGGAGAAGGGAAGGGAGGAAGAAAGGAAAGGGAAGGAAGGAGAAGGGAAGGGAAGGAAAGGAGGGAGGGACGGAGCCCCCCTAAACACTCACATTTCCCCCCAGGAGCTGCTTAGACCAAAGTTGTCCAACCTGGGTAACTTTAATAAGACTTGTGGACTTCAACTCCCAGAATTCCCCAGCCAGCGCAGTCCGAAGTCAGCTTCTGGCTTCCTCTGCCCCCCCCTTTCTCCCCCTGCTGGCCAGCCTGGGGGGAAGGGCAGCTGGACCTCTCCCCCAAAGCCCTCAAAAGGGGCCCTTTTGCCACAAGCCCCCCAATCTCCAGCCGGAGACCCCAAAGGGGCCGATTTAGACAGGGCTGGCTGGGAGCAGGCCGGGCCGCTGACCCAGGCCGAGCAGGATTTGGGCAGGGGATACCTAGAGAGCATCCAGCTGGATGGTCCTTCGGCAAGGCAATGCCGGGAAAGGCCAGGAGCAGCTCCAGCCCGGCTCTCCCCCCAAATGCCATGGCTGAGGGACTACAAGGCCCATCGCTGGGAGAGAGAGAGAGACAGAGGCATGGAATTCCTCCCCTCTAAGGAAGCCTGTCTGGAGCAGGAAAAGGGGAAGGGAGAGCGGCCAGGGGTCCACTCCTCATCTGCCGGGCTCCCAGGGGTGGGAAGGGGCCTGGCCAGCTGACCCCTCTGCTTGGGGGGGCAGGGGGTGGGGGCCAGAGAGCAAAGGGCGGCCCAAGATGAACAAAGCCGGGCAGCCCCTCCTGTTTGCAATCAAGAGGAGGCCATGACTGCTGGGGGGGCAGGGAAGGGGGGTGCCAGGGGGGTTAGGATCTGCCCTGAGACGCCCCTCCCCAACCGGTGACCCCCCTGCTCCAGGCCAGGAGCAAAGCCCCCCCCCAAGGCCCACATGAGCAAAGAGGAATTCCAGCAATTTCCTCCCTTTGACCCGGCAGGAGCAGTGGGGGAAGGGCTGTGGGGCAGGAGGAGGGGAAGGGGCCTCCTCCAGCCACGTGTGCCTGTGTGTGTGTGTGTGTGTCTGTGTGTGTGTGTTTGTGTGTCCATCCTGGGCGGGGAGGGCTCTGCAGTCAGGCTAGACTCGGCCTCTGCTCCACACCTCCCCCCCCACATGCAAACTTTGTTTGAGGACCAGGCTGTGGGGTTGCTGCCCCTGCTGACCCCAGGCAGACCCCCCCCCCCTCAAGAGGGGCAACCGAGGACAGGCATCCTTCCCCTCTGTGCAAAGTCTGGGCTGGCAGGCAGGGAGAGACACCGGTTCAGTCCCCACCCCACCGCGGCCTTCTCCCCATATTCCCTTTGGCCGCCCCTCATCAGGACCCCCCCCTTGCAAAGTTGGCCTTTGCCCCCTCCCTTCCCTTCCCCTGGGGGACCCCAGGAACCCACCCCTCCCTTTGTCACTCCTGGCAATGAGGGAGGGGCTCCTGGGGGGGGGCTGCAATCCTGACCCACAGGGGAGATGCTAGCTGGGGGGCAAGACCAGCACCAGAAGAAACAACCCCCCCCCACCACCACCAAGGGAGGCGCAAGACCCAAAGGCCAGGGGAGGGGGTCCCTAAAAGATAGCCCACCGTGGGGAGGGGGGGTGCGGCTCCACATCACATGGCCGGCTCCAGCCCCATCTGAACCCTTAGCCCCCCCCTCCCCAGCCTGCAGCAAGCAAACAAGGAGACCCCCAGCCCCCCCCCCCAGTACAGCTAATCCCCTGCCTGGCATTTATGCATCACAACTGCCCCCCCCAGAAGGCACCTTTCCTGCCCCTCCCTCGGGGCAGCTGCGGCCTTCCTGGCCTCTCCTTGCACCCTGGAAGGTCCGGCAAGGCCTGGGCGGGCAGAGCACCAGGGGCTTCGGAGTTTCAGGATGCTGACCCAGCACCTACACGTGGCTCCCTCCTCCCCCATCTGGATAACTCCCGGAGGGGCGGGAGGACCTGTGTGGGTCCAGCTGCAAAAGAAAGGAGGGGGGGGGAAAGGAAGATCCAGGGCCCCCCACAGTCACCTCTGTCTCTGGGGTAATTCCACGCTTGGAGCCCCCCCAAGAGGGGTTTGGAGCAGACAAAGGCAAGAACCAGCCGGGGTCGTCCCCGGAATGTCCCCTGTTCAGTTCTCACATCCTCATTTAAATCTTGAACCCGGGTCCAAGGAGAAGAGGAGTCCCTTGGTCAACGAATCCAGAGAGGGAGGGAGGGAGGGAGGGAGGGAGGGAGAGAGAGAGAGAGAGACTGACCGACTCACATTTAGGACCGTCGCAGCGTCCCGGGGTCACGTGAACCCCCTTTTGAGACCATCCGGCGAGCAAAGTCATTGGGTAAAACCAGATTCACTTAACAACTGCAGCGATTCGCTTAACAACGGGAGCAAAAAAGGTCGTAAAATGGGGCGAAACACATAAATCTGGGGCTCAGCTGTG